AAATCAGATTCAGATCGTTTGTCTGCATCTTAATTTTTACCTCTTAAAACTATATTTGCCTCTTATTTTTTCAGATGTTGAACAGTGTCTGAAAATAAAAAAAGAAGCCGCGTCCCTTATTTGCCCTAATACCCATTCGCCAGTTTTCTCCCGTTTATTTTTCCTTCGCATATGCTCCCCGCTGTTCTCTCCACCAGATCCGACGTCGCCTTCAATTGAAAGTCTACCGGTCGACGCCTCTCCCTGGAACGCCGCCGCCGCCACCACTGATAGTCCACCCGCCGGTCGACGCCTCTCCCTGGAACGCCGTCGCATATTCAGGTATTTTCTTCCTCTCGCACATTTGTTTTTCTTCTTTCTTCCTTCTTCTGAAAATCATATTCCCTCCCGAACGAAATCAAAATCAACAACATTTTATGTTTATATGTTCCTGATTTGTTAAAAACCGAAATTAGTTCATTATTATTGTTAAAAAATAGAAATTAGTTCCTGAAACGCCCTTGTAACAAATAATACCTGAAAGATTAATACCTGAAATAACAAAAAGATTAATACCTGAAACGCCCTTTTGATCTCAAAAAATAGAAATTAGTTCCTGAAACGCCCTTGTAACAAATAACAAAAAGATTAATACCTGAAACGCCCTTTTGATCTCAGAAACCAACATTTTGAGCTGATTTACCAACTGATACACCATTTCTCTTCGATTCAACACAAGACAAACTGTCAAAAATCTAGCAAGAAATCTCAATTGTTTATTTGCAAGATTAAGATCTTGGAATAATCCATCTTTAAAATACTCTCTTGTTAAAACTGCTTCATAAAAAATATAAGCCTCAGATAAATAACTGGCTTGACTTGTTCTCATATATTGCCCAAAATAAAGTTGACCAATTCTTGATGCAATATCACCAATTTCCCATCTTTTAAGACCAGATTCCACCAGCTTTTGTCGATTCTCTTGTTGGAATTTCCATAGTTTTGTATAAACTTTGAATACTTTATGGAAGTGTGTATCATACCTGATGCAACAACACATTGTTCATGGATTTCAGACTCTAGATTTTTGTTTATTGTAGAATGTTACTTTCATTTCTTCATATTACAACATTGTAGTTTGAGAAATCTACCTAATTATAGAAATTTTATTCAAATAGAATGCTATAATGAGTAGATTTTTCAAAGTTCAATGTCTTCATAATAGAAACAGAAGTACCATGTTGTAATGTAAGAGAAATAAATGAAAGTGGGATGCTAAAATACACATAAACGATGGATCTCAAATAAAGAACATCGCAATTCAAGAACCTACCATGGCCGATTTGTTGCTGCTTTGTTGCTCTCGCACATTTGGTTTTTTTTTTTTTTGCTATTCTTCTATCTTCTTTCTTCAGAAAACTGATTTGTTGATGCTCCTAAACCTTAAGAAAAAAAAAATACAAATCAGCTTATGTATTTGTTCCTGATTTCTTCAAAAAATGAAAAAAAAAAAAACGATTTCTTGTTATATGTTGATGTTATATGCTGATTTGTTAAAAAAACGAAAATTATTGTTAAAAAAATTGATTTCCTGCTGATTTGTTATATGCTTATTTGTTAAAAAAAATTATTGTTAAAAAAAATGATTTCTTTGTTAAAAAAATTATTGTCAATGAACATAATGAATGTTGACATGTTCTATTATTATTATTATGTTTGATTTCCCTGTTATGTTTGTAGTCTTTCCTGTTATGTTTGATTTTTTATATTCAATTGTTTGTGTTCAATGTTTTTATGTTTGATGTTATGTGCATTTGTAGTGCATTATATGTTGATGTTATGTGCATTTGTAATGCATTATATGTTGATGTTATGTGTATTTGTAATGCATAACTTGTTGCTAAAACATGCATTTTTTTGTTGAATTGATCAAAGAAATGGGAGAAAAGAAGGATAGGATTAGTTGGAAGGTAGAAGGTGTAGAGAAAACATTTCTTGAAGCTTGTTTACGTGAAGTTACGATCAATGGACGGGAAGGGAGTAGTTTGAAAGCACTTTCTTGGAGAAATGTAGCCGAAACACTAAAAATTGAACATAACTTTATTGCCGACCAAAAACAAATGAAGAACCGTTATGACTACCTAAAGTCAAAGTTTGGTGCTTTTTTGAAGTTAAAAAACAAAACCGGTAATGTGTACAATTCAACAACCAACACCTTTAATCTTTCCAAAGAAGAATGAGAACTAGAAGCGAAGGTATTTTGTTAATTTATAAAAAATTGATTTTCATGTTTTTAAATAATAAAATATTTTTTTCCAAACAGTCAAACAAACATGTGGATTCTTTGAGACGCACACCATTACCGTATCCCGACCTTTGCACACAGTTGTTTGAAGGCGCGACTGCGACATGCATGCATAGTTGGGGACCAACTTCTACCCTTCCCCGTCCTACTCAAGACTCAAGCCACTATAGTTTGCATGACTTTGATGACATCGATTGCACTCAACAAGAAACTGTAGGTCTCGGTGACGAGTCATCCGCTCAATCAAAAAAACAAAAGACTACAGATACGGCAAAGAGTCAAAATAAAAGTAAAGACAAGGGTAAAGATAAGGGTAAAGATGCATCCAACTCAAGATTGCTTGAAATCGGTGAAGATATTGCCACAGTTGCTAAAATATTTGTGGAAAAGCATTCTTCTTCAAACTTGGATGCGTGTATGGAAAAATTGGAGAAATTAGGATGGGGAATATTTGATCCAAGATACACTACTGCTGTTGCTCTTTTTGGTGAAAGTGCGGATAAGAGGCACGTGTGGTTAACCATTGATCCAGCTATTTGTGAGAATTGGGTCAAGACTGTTGGAGCACATTACGGAATGTTTCGCTAAGTAGATTTTTTAAATGTTTTGATGGTTTTTTTTTGGATAACTAGATGTTTGGTTTGAACTAGATGGCTTTTTTTTTTGGATTACTTGATGTTTGATTTGAACTAGATGGTTTTTTTTGGATTACTTGACATTAATGACTTGATGTTTTGGATTACATGATGTTTTGGATTACTTGGTGTTTTGGATTATTTGATATTAATGGCTTGATGAATTTTTATATTATATGTTGTTAATATAATTGTTATGTATTTTCAAAATAACAGATTGCTTATGGATTCGGATGAAGAAATTGCATTTTTCATGTTACTATGTTGCTATTGGTTGAATCTAGCATTCAACAGAATTGGAAGGGCAATTGATAATGATTCGGAAATGAGTGGTCATCAACATACACAAGAATTGTTACATGGAACTTCTACACAATGTAAAGACCTGATGCGTCTTTCACGTGAAGCATATGTACTTTTATGCAATCATTTTAGACGAAATAATTGGTTGCAAAGTAGTAGGCATATAAGCGTTGAAGAAAAGATGGCTATGTTCTTAACTACTATAGCACATAATAAACGGTTCAGGATTATCAAACGAAGGTTTCAACACTCTACAGAAACAGTTCATAGATGCTTTCATGAGGTGCTAAATGCAATGATGATTTTTGCAAAAGAAGTTATAGTGCCAACGAATTCTAATGCAACTGTGAATTCCTCAGAGAGGCATCGTAAGCTAAAAGAAATCTTTCCTGGAGCAATAGGTGCGCTAGATGGAACTCTTGTACATGCAGTCGTGCCTGCTGATCAACAAACTCGCTATAGGGGAAGAGGAAAAGGTGAATGCTTTCAAAATGTTTTAGGAATTTGTGATTTTGATATGATGTTCACATTCGTATGGGCCGGTTGGGAGGGTATAACACATGATTCGCGAGTTTTGAAAGAAGTTGCATGTAACCCGACTTCAGGCTTTCCGTTCCCTCCTCCAGGTTTTTAATTCTTTTTAAGATTATTCTAAAATACGATATTAAATTTCTATATATAATACTTCCTTTACTGATATGTACAGATAAATATTACCTTTGCGATGCTGCATACACCAACACTCGTGGATTTATGACTCCTTATCGCAACACGAGGTATTGGTTAGCCGACTATCGACGGCGACGTCCGTTAACTAAGGAAGAAAAATTCAATCATGCACATGCGCAACTCAGAAATGTTATTGAACGTGCTTACGGTGTTTTGAAGGCGAGATTCCCAATTCTAAAGCGAATGGCTCCTTTTCCTTTTTCAGTGCAAAGAGATATAGTCGTTGCTTGTTTTGCAGTCCACAATTTCATAAGGAAATGCGATATTCATGATGAGTTATTTATGGCGTTCGAGGAGAACAATGCTCAACCACAAGGGGGACAAAATGATGTCGAAAACGTACACGATATGGAATGAGGTTCACAAGGAAATGAATACATGGATAATTTACGTGACCAGATTGCGAATCAATTGGGATGAAATTAGATTTGTAGGATTTTATTTGGATTTTAGTATGATATTGTGGATTTAAAAATATTTATGTTTGATTTGGATTTGTGTTTAATTTTGATTTATGCTAAATTTGAATTTTATATGGTGTTTATATATTTTTTAATACATAATTAAGAATTTTTATTAGGTTATTTTCTAAATAAACAGATGAATTTAATTAAAAAAATAAAACAGAAGGGTAAAATGGTCATTTTAATAATTCAGCAGAACAATTCAGAGGTCCCAACCAAACAGCATGTTAAACATTCAGCTCTTAAAATTTCAGACCCTCTTAAAAATTCAGACCTCTTAAAAATTCAGATCTTAAAAATTCAGATCCTGCCAAACAGCCCCTAAAAAAAACTACATTGCCACATTGACAAAAAAAAAATAGCATCCTAACAAAACCGCAAAAAATAATATTTGTCGTCCAATGTGAGCCCAAATTTAGCCCACTAGACCCAAAACTACAGGCATATAATTTATAAAGTGTCGTGCTCAATCCCGAAACCCTAATCTTTCTTCCTTGCGTCAATCTGAGCAAACTCTACTCTGCCCACCGGCCGCCGTCGCATTCTCGTCTGCGCCTCCCTCCCTCCCTCCCTCCCTCCTGAAAAATGGGTCGTGTTCGTACCAAAACCGTCAAGAAATCATCTCGCCTGGTAATCGAGCGTTACTACTCCAAAATGACACTCGATTTCCACACCAACAAGAAAATCCTTGAAGAAGTTGCCATCATCCCATCTAAGCGTCTCCGCAACAAGATCGCCGGATTCTCCACTCACCTGATGAAGCGTATCCAGAAGGGACCCGTCAGAGGCATCTCGCTCAAGCTACAAGAGGAAGAGAGAGAGCGCCGTATGGACTTTGTCCCCGATGAATCCGCCATTAAAACAGATCGCATCGAGGTCGACAAGGAGACTATTGACTTGCTTGCATCTCTTGGAATGAGCGAGCTTCCTGGAATTGTCCTCAAGGAGGACACTCCGTTGGTTTCCGCATCGATACCAGGGGCGTATGGTGGTGGTCGTGGTGGATATGGAGGTGGAGCTGGTAGAAGGTACTGAGTTTTTTAATTTGTAGGTTAATTTTGAGTACTTGATATGAATTACGTTTTGTGATGGTTTTAAGACAAAATCTATGCACTTTGTTATTCAGATATTGCGTTTGGATGTTTTTCTTTAGTCAAATACTATCTTAGTTTTGAATTGTTCTCTACATTAAGCCGTTTTGCTTGTTATCATCATTCATCAGCCAACATGGTGCATTTCATTATAAGTTTCATCAAAGCTGCACTTTGATAATTGTTTTGAGATCATTTTTTTAAAAGTTTGATTGTTTATTCATAGTGTATCACTATCATAAACATTCAATACAACACATTTGGAGTTTTTAAGTAATTTTGAGTTTTGGCCTATGCCTACTTATGAACATATGATAGTGATATAACATGTCAATTATCTATTCAATTAGTTATATAAAATTTCATCCTTTTGATTTTTTTCTGCGAACAGAGAGTTGTTAAGTTCATCACGAAAGCTTTACAAATGAGTTTTTGTGATGGAAAATATTAGAATTTATGTTATATTTTCAACTTGGTTGTTCAGAATGTATTTTTAATGTCTCTCAAAGTGTAGAATGTTAACTGACTTGATAGTTGATATCTAGAAAAAAACTTATTGAACAACAAAAATAGAAAATATTTTTACAAAAGAAGCCCCCTAACCTTATTGTGTAACGAATTAAAATATTGTTTGTTAGAGCAATAAAGCTTTTGTTGCCTGTTTTTATTTAAAAAAATGGAATTTTAGTACATTAAAATATAATATTATTAGTATAACAGTGTATAAGAATTTATATTTATATTTATATTTATGCACGATGTGCCTGATATGTGCTTCGACCAATAACCCGAAAGGAATCCCGACCCTTTATGTCGTTTGTGATTTTGGTATCATGTTATGACTTTTTAAGGTCAAACATATGATGTTCGACATCAAATTGCTTATGAAATCTTCCAAAATTTATAGTAATTTAGATAAAAGTTTATAAATTGGTAATGAATTTTTGAAGTTAGATATGTAGGAGGATTAAAATAAAGATGTAAATTGTAAATTAGGGAGTGTTTAGTGACCTCAAAAGTCAAAAAGGGAATTAAAATTACATCGATTTATTTGGGTCTTATTTATTTCTTTCTTTTCATGCCGATTAGCAAAAGTAATCAATTTGTATTAACAAAAGGCATCATACAACGAGGGTTTCTCTTTTTATGTTTTTGACTACTAGGTGGTTGTTTAGACTTCATCACTAGAATTTTACAAACAATAAATATAATTTGAAGATCTGATAATCATATAACCTGATTTCTTATAAGCAATTTTACAATGAATATAATCTAGTAATCGGATAAAGTATTGATTCTGTAAACACTTTAGTTTCTAAATTCTAAAATTCAGATAAACAATTATATAATAAACATAATGATTGGACTGCTTTAGATTTGAATTTGGCTGAAACAATACATACTATTAAAAAACAATTGGGCACCTTAAAATTGTTGGCCTTGTTCTGATGCCCATCTTGCACATGCTCTAAACCGAACCAGTTCTCTTTACCTAAAGATTGGATGTTTGTGTGAACAAGAATTATTAACCGGATATCGTAGAAAAATATATTCACTATGCTACCAAAATCGATATTACCTTGCTCAATTGGACTCTGTCCTCAAGAGTTACATACCACTTTGCAAGTATTATATAAGCTCCATTTATTTTATCATAAATTTATTTTCCAAACATTTATCATTGTTTTGATTAGTATTGATCAAGTAATAATATTAAAAAAAAAAAAATCAAAATTTAACGGTATGGATGAGCATTATGGGACTATTGTCTCTCAACAACGATGATACTTATAAAATATCACGAACTTCTATCATGATGTCACCAACTCATCAAACAAGCAGAGTATTGACATCATAGTTTGGTCCGATGATTTTAATAGTCTTGTGCGAGAAACAAAAATGGACCCTATTTATTTATTTATTTATTTAAGAAAACTTCTTTAATACAATGATAAGTCAAATAATTGTTATAAAATCATCAATACAAAAATTCTCATTGATCCATCATTAATCTGTTGCTAAGTTTAATTTATTTAAAAAAAATCGGATCTTCATGACACATTTTTTTTGGAACCGGCAAATATATTAATAAGACCACCCTCTAGCAAGTGACTAGAGGAGGGGAAATAACAACGTACAAATAATAAGATTACAGATTACACACAAAGAAACGGAGAACTACACCATACTAACCAATCAATACTCCTATTTCCCCCCTCTTTTTTATCCATAGGTATGTAGTGGATTTGATCATGTCTACACAAATGAGAGCAGGAAGCCGTTTTTTATTGAAAATTATGTTGTTCCTAACTTTCCAAATGTTCCAGAGCATGTCGTAACAGATTCCCATTAGCAACCTTCTTTTTATGGAGCAGTTGGACCATGCTTGAGCGTATGTGATCACCTCATGTACTGTTTTGAGTTCTACGAGAGGAACTCTACACCATTTTAGCACTAGTTGTAAAACCGTGCTCGCGTACTTACACCCCACCAGTGCATGCTCTGCGCATTCCACTACTTCTTCACAGTGATTGCAATTTTTTTTTCCACATCTACCCCTCTGGATAAAAGGCCCAAGGTTGAAGGTGTTTTGCCCATTTTAGCCCTCCAAATGAAACAATTGATTTTAATCGGGATTTCCCTCAGCCATGTAAACTGATCCAGGTTTAGTGTGGGGTTGAGGTCTAGTTTTTTCCGGAGGACGTTTACTATGAATGATCCGTCAACAGTGAGATTACATCTCCATGTTTCACCACATGGACCTGATTGTTTGTGTAGCACTGATTCGGTTGGGATACCTTTATTTTGAAGGTATTTTCCGATGCTTGTGATGTTTTTCCACGCACCTGGTATGTATTTGCTTGCATAACAGTGGTCTGGTTTGTTGTATAAATTATGCATGCTATGTATGGCTTTGGCCCAAAGGGATGTAGGCTCAGATCGAAGTCTCCACTACCACTTCATAACGAGGGAGCAATTTAGAGATTTTATGGTACCAATACCAAGCCCGCCAATTTCTTTGGATGCAGTGACTTTGTCCCAGGATACCCAGTGTATGCTTCTTTTTTCATCTGTGCTACCCCATAAAAACTTCCTACGAATACGTTCTAACGTCTCAATCACCCCCTCGAGAGCCACAAATATCGAGAGATAATAAGTAGGTAAGTTACCCAGAACCGACTGAACAAGCGTTAGTCTACCACCAAACGACAAAGTTTTGGATTTCCATATGGACAATTTTTTTGTGAAATCTCTCGATCACCGGTTTCCAATTTTTAATTAATTTAATGTTCGCCCCGACCGGAACACCAAGGTAAGTGAATGGAAGAGAGGATGGTTTGCAACCAAGAGTTGTGGCCCATCTTGAGACTTCATGCATATCAGCGCCAATACCAAAGACCTTTGATTTATCAAAGTTTACCTTGAGACCGGAGGAGGCATGAAAGCAATGTAGGACCCTGGCAAGGTTTTTTATGTTTCTTTTGGACCATTCTCCGACAAACAGTGCGTCGTCTGCGTATAGTAAGTGGGAGATCGTTGGTCCACCGTTTGGTAGTGCTAAACCCTGGAAGACTCCGGTTTGACATGCAGCCCGCATGGCTGCACTTAATCCCTCCATAGCTATGATAAAGAGGAACGGTGATAGCGGATCCCCCTGCCTCACCCCTTTTGAGATTGGGAATTCCTTAGTCGGGCTCCCGTTAACCAAGACAGATGATTTGGCAGATTCAAGATAGCCCTTAATCCATGCCCTCCATTTGTCTCCAAATCCCATGATTTTTAGGTTTGAGTCGAGGAATCCCCAATTTATGGAATCAAATGCTTTATCGAAGTCAACTTTGAAAAGCAAGACCTTATTTTTTGACTTTTTTGCCCAGGCACATAGTTCATTTACTATCAACGGCCCATCAAGAATATTCCTACCTTCGACATATGCAGATTGAACTTCATCTATGCACTTCCCCATAACCTTCTTTATTCTTTGTGCGAGGATCTTAGCAATGATCTTGTATAATGATCCTATTAGGTTCATGGGTCTAAAATCACTTAACATAATGGGGTCTTTGATTTTGGGGATCAGGGATATGAATGAAGAGTTACACGATTTGTCCAGTTTCCCATACTGCTCAAAATGTTTGACCACAGCCGCAATGTCACCCAGCAGTACACCCCAGTATTTTTTTTTATGAATTTGAATGTGTATCCGTCGGGTCCAGGGGCTTTCTCGTTTCCGCAAGCCCACACTGCCTCCTTAATTTCCTCCAGTGAGATTGGCGCTTCTAGCATCTTGCAATCAGCTGGGGTGATCTTATTAAATTGGTTGTTGCTTAGTTTCGGTCTGGAAGGCCATTTTTCTTTAAACTTATTGGCAAAAAAATTGAAGGCCTCCAGTTTTATCATCGTCGAGTCAGTGCACCATGACTCGTTGATCATGAGTCCATCAATCCCGTTTTTCGAATTATTATTGTTAACGTGGCCATGAAAGAATCGAGTGTTTTCATCCCCGTCTACAACCCATTTGACCCAGGACTTTTGCTTTATGTCTAACGCTCTGAGTTTTTTGAGTTCTGCGATTTTTTTGAAACTATCCCTTCGCCTCGTCGCTTCTTCTATGTTGAGTGCCCTGGATTCAACTTCCTGATCCAAATGTTCTATTTCCTTTTTGAGTTTAATTAAAGTATCCTCTTCTATGGGGTGTTCTGTTGCTCTCCATTTTTTTAAGGCTTCTTTGACGTCTCTTAGTTTTGCCGCCATGTACTGGTCCGGGGTACCGAACCCAATGAAATTATTCCAGCTGGTTATGAAAGTCTTCTCAAAACCCTCTCACAGTAACCAGGAATTGAAGAGCCTGAATGGTGGGGGGCCGAAGTCCGGTTTGGTGGTGGAGAGTAGTATGGGACAGTGGTCGGAGAGTTCTCGTGGTAACGCGGTGACAGAGGTTTTGGGAGCGATATCAAGAAAGCTTGGGCTGATTAGGAAGCGATCAAGTTTGCTCAATTTTATGTCATCATTCCTAAAATTTTAAGATCTGTGAAACCCACCTCTTGTATGAACTTGTTGAAGTCTCTGGCTGTACGATAACAGAAAATTGAATTAAATCTCTCATGAGGTCTCCTTACTACATTAAAGTCTCCCATCATGATCCACACCCCATCGATAGCTTGTATGATCCCTTTTAATTCTTCCCATAATAATGCCTTTTCACGTAGAGTTTGTGGTCCATAAATATTAGCAATAATTATTGGTCTTGAAATGCCTTCCCAAGTGCCAATATTGATAAGATAATTGCGAGAGGATATAACATCAGCAGAAGTGAACATCTTATTATCCCACAGACTTAGTAAACCTCCAGACCTTCCGTAGGAGCTAGTGCGACTAACACCAAAATTAGTAGAGCCCCAACAAGCCCTTGCATCAATAATCTTAGCGTTTAGGAGTTGTGTTTCTTGGATTGCAATAAATGATAACCTATGCTTTCTTTTAAGTCGTCTGATCCATGCCACCTTATGCTCTCCCCCAATACCATTAATATTCAGAGAAAGGAAATTCATTGGGGAACATTGTGCTCACCTGATACTCCAAGAATTTCAGCTAGGATACAATTATTAGGTTCAATCTCGAACCCAATTAGGGAACCCACTGCAGCTGTCGCTTCAATTTCTGTTGATTCCACCACTAGGTCGGTTAATTCATGGTTCTGTACATCGATGTTTTGGCCGGCACTGGGTTGAGGGATCTGAGTTGGTTCATCTGTGGTGGTGGTGGATACGATGATGGGGGGAGGTCGACTTCTTTCAGTGGCTTGAAACAGGGTGGTTCTTGGGATCGAATTTGTGAGTTCGCTAGGGGGAGAGCGCTGTAAGCAACGTTTCTTTAAAGAAGAGCGGACATGACCATTATCAAAACTATGTTGACCAACTGAAGGAGGAGTATAGTTAAAAGAGGGAAAAGGGCCAAAGCACCCAGATTGGGCTAATGAAGTTGGGAAGTTAACAATTTTCATTGGGCCCAAACTCTGAAGATCCGAGGGTATTGGGTCCGTCTGATTATCTAGGGCGGCAACCCGATCCGTCTTACCGTTATCTTTTGAATTGTCTTGGAAATTGAGTGTCGCTTCATAGACCCCTTTCTCGAGAACCGGTCTTTCTTCACCGGACTCATTGGTTTTCGTCGCCGATGTTGTTCTCTGGTGATGTTCCGTGTCATCTCCGACCACTGTGCATGACATTGTTGGGTCATCACCGCCTTCATTAGTCTTTTCTGCGGTATGGTATGTTGGAGAGTTAGGGTTCCCATCCTGAATGATTTCCCCCTCCTCCATGTCATTGATCCAAGTTGCAGATACACCTTCATCTTCTTCAATGGAGTTCCAATTATTTGACTCACTTACCATAGACTCGTTTTCAGTTTTATCATCCAACACCTGATCTTCATATGGATGTTCTTCGTTGTCAAACTTGAACGGGAACCATGGTTCATCTTCGTATTCAACGATTCCAACGTGAAAAGATCGGCCATCAGCTTCCACCTGAATCTCCTCATTGAATTTTGTTAATTTGTCTGTGAGAATGGCTAACTTCACCACAAAGAGGTCAACTCGACTAGTGATATGGTCTATTGGCACCACTATTTTTCCGAACTTCCCCACAATAGCAGAGAAGTTGGAGTTATTCCATAGTCGGATGGGGAGTCCAACTATCCTGATCCATATTATCCGTTTGGATTTTGTGACTGCAGTGGATCCCATCTTCATCCATTTGAATGTATCTTTCCAGTTCCCCTCATTTTCTTGGAATTCTCTTGCAGCAACTGTGGAATCAAAGCTGATTAGAGCAAGCATCCCACCGAGGTATTTGATTGAAGGGCGGTGTTCACTGTGGACGGAGATGAGAGTTGGCATATGACCAAGGAGTTCCAGGGATTTAGCTTCGCCAATGAGGGTGGATTTAGTGAGCCATCGGTCCATGCCGTCGTCGGTGTGCAAGCAGATCGGAGCAGATGTTTGGTGAATGTTATTATTGGGCTGCCTTGATTTGGAGTGACCAGTGACCTGAGCATATGTTCTATGGTCGGTAAATCCACCTCAATGGATACCGGTATTTTTTCCCAGGGGCTCGACATTTCTTGGGTTCTGGTTTATTTTCCCAGAAGGTAATGGAAGTGTTTTCCGGCCATGCCTTGCAACGTTAATCTCAACTTTATTGTTTCTGCATGTAGCACCGTTCAGTTGCAATTCCAAAGCTTTGACGTCGGATACGCCGATGAATCGTATGAAACCGTAGTTTTTCCCGTTCTTCCCTGTGTTCCTCCCGAAATAAATATCTGATAATCTTCCCGAGAAAAGATTTTCCTGAATTCTGATTTAGTTGCGTCATTTGGTATGTTGGTGACGAAGAATGTGGTTTCTGCTGTCGTGTTACGCCGCCTCACTTCCATCCATCCGTCTTCCATATTTGCTATTACCATTTCAATAGACACATATCATGTGACTGCACTCCGCACACATGCCTAGGGCCGACCATGATTGGCATGGCATGGTTTAATGCGACTCAGCCAAAACGTTTGAGAGTCCAAATGTATTTATACAAATTTTTAATATATATAGGAATCAACTATTCAGGAGAATTTAAGCGATTATAAATTTTAAAATGGTAGTAAGAAAGAGAACATTAGGTCTCTTAGTGGCATGATGTTATTTTTATCTCGTATACTTAAATATATGTTTAGATGAGACATAGCCATGTATATTGATTTCTTTGATACGAGGCCATTTTTTTTGTCTGCCTACAAAATGGAACTTAGATATGGGAGGCTGAACATGGTATTCACCGGAACTGATAGATGTCATACACCAAGAGAAAGAACTATATTAGAAGAAGAATGAATCTTCATGCTCATGTGTCTTCTATAATAAGGTTTAGATTTGAGGATGTGACTAGCAATTCCAATTTCATTTCTCACTATAATTGGATGGACTACAAGATGACATAAACCAGACTGAATTATTATTAAAAATAACTTAATGAAAGAAAAATAAGCGATAGTGCCTACAATTCCGTCTACAAAGTTTCTTTACTCAATTTTATGAATAGTATTATCTAACTTGCCAACTAAGAAAATTGACCAACCGGGTGTTACAAAAAATAGATATTGGTCGATAGAAATAAGCTAATTGATGATGATAATAATAAAAATCTAGCCCTCTAGTAATGTATTCATGTGCAAATTACCAATAATAACAAAGAGAAAACAACATTAAAACAGAACACAACATCATCAATAAGATCCAAGAATAGCATGCAATACCCACTAAAAATCTTTTTTCACTCGTATTTACTATATTTTTTAAATTTCGAAGTCTTTTTTTCATTGGCTCTATTAGTGATTTTTTTCAAAAATACATTTTATTGATTCCCCTTTACCCTTACCCACATGCCATAGTCATGGTGACATCCCATATTTTATTTAAACGACATTTGATGAAATGTTAAAAAGGGGTCGACCTTCATCCCCTATTTTTCCGCTTTTCACAAATTAACTTATGATTTATTTTTCAATCATGCCATCACATTATAGTTAGAAAAAACAAAATAAAATACCAACTAATCAAGGTAAGAGCAATATATACTAAATTATTTAAAAACCCTACAACTCTACAAGAATAACCAATTGTTCTTTAACATTCCAAGCTGTCAAATTTAAGAAGAAGAAAAAAAAAATACTAAAACAGATACTTCAATAATTGAATAATACTTTACAAATAAACTAATAATCTTTTTTCATTGTATTTATTCTATTTTTTAAAATCTCAGAGGTCTTCTTTCTTTGGCTATATTAGTTGATTTTCAGCTATACCTATTATTGGTTCCCCTTCACTCTTACCGACAACCATGTCGACAACTTATCTAGTTATGCTTGAATGTTAAACTAACTCATGGAGTCATGGTCTATATAATATTATAATATAATTATGAACTTCGTATGTCTAGAGACCATTAGCAAATTAATAAACCTTTTTCTCAGCCTTGTTTCAGTTTAAACAAACCATAATTCATCAACATGATGCTGCTTGTGGTGCTTATGGCTCTCAAGTGTTCCATTCTTGGAACACTAGTTTTGATTGTTGTTCATGGGAGGGGGTGGCATGCAGCCATGACCATGATCAGTACTATGTTCATGTGATCGGCATTGACCTGAGCGAGAGGTCTCTTTGTGGGCGTATCAACTCCAGCAGCACCCTCTTCAACCTTGTTCATCTTCAGAGACTCAACCTTTCTGGGAACAACTTTGGTGATTCTCAAATCCCATCTGAGATTGCTCGTCTAAAGCAATTAAGAAGCCTCGATCTCTCTGATTCTGGGTTTAGTGGCCAAATCCCGAATGGAATCTCGCAGTTGATTCAGTTGTCTTCTTTAGACCTGTCAAGGAATTCACTAAAGCTTCACAATCCTAGCCTGAAGAAGCTAGTGCAAAACTTAACAGGACTTGAAGAACTCCATCTCTCGGGGGTCGACATCAGTTCTTCTGTACCTCATTTCTTAGCCAACTTTTCTTCTCTGAGATCAATCAAGCTAAGAGAGTGTTCCCTTAAAGATAAATTCCCCGCAGCCATATTTGAGCTACCAAAGTTGCAAGTTCTTAATTTGGCAAACAATACTGACCTCACAGGATCACAACAGCTTACTTGAAAAGGTGATACTACCTCTCACACGTTTCTTTGGGATTATACCAGAATCCATAAGCCACCTCAAGCAGTTAAAAATCTTGTCCCTTAGTGAATGCTCTTTCTCGGGGCGTATTCCAGGTTCACTCTCTAACTTGTCACAACTCACTTTCTTGGGTCTTGGTGAAAATCACTTCACAGGTTCAGTTCCTTCATTTGGAAGTCTTTTGAAACTCGATGTTTTGGAACTTACTGGTAATAAATTTGAGAAAGGACGCTTTCCCAATTGGCTTGGAAGGCTGACTACACTTCGTGAACTCTATCTAACTGATATGAACGTAAAAGGTGAAATCCCTCTTTTTCTTGCCAACCTAACTAAACTAAGTGTAATAGGAATGAAAAATAATTCTCTTATTCGTCGTATACCATCCTGGTTGTTCAACCTCACCCAACTAACAAGTTTGAATCTTGATACGAATCAAATGGAAGGACCAATTCCAAACACATTTTCAATCTTCAAAAATCTTGAGTATCTTAACCTTGGTGGAAACAATTTCAATGGTAGGGTAGAACTCGACATGTTCCTAGGACTCAACAAACTCCAAACACTCTGGTTAGGTCATAATAAAATATCATTAGTAGCCACCAACAACTATACCATTACCACTTTACCAGAATTGGATACGTTAGGACTTTCTGCATGCAATTTGAAGGAATTTCCTTCCTTCTTGCGCTTCCAAAATAAACTGCATGGCTTACTTCTTAACGACAACAAGATTGATGGTCGGGTACCCGTGTGGATCTGGAACAACAGCCGGGAAACGTTAGAGTTTTTTGACCTTTCACACAACTCCATCACCGGACAACTACCAATTCCACCACAAACCACAGTTCTTTATGATATATCACATAATAACCTGACAGGAGAAATACCATCATCAATATGTGGCTTGAAATCTCTTCGAATGTTAGATTTGTCTTCTAACAACATGAGCGGAACACTTCCTTCGTGTTTGGGTAGCTTAAGCAATTCGTTAATGTTTTTTAATCTAAGACGAAATAACTTCCACGGGAAAATGATGAATGCTTGTACGCCTGGAAGCCTGTTGCAGACCTTGATTTGAGCTTTACAGGTCAGCTGCCAAGATCATTGACAAATTGTACCAATTTAGAGGTTCTCTCTCTTGGAGATAACTCTTTTCATGACGTCTTTCCTTCTTGGATGGGAACTCTTGCCAAGATTCAAGTTCTGGTTTTGCGATCAAACAAACTTTATGGTCCAATTCAAGGTTCCTCACACTTCCCTAAGTTGCGGATCATAGACCTCTCTAACAACAATTTTAGTGGTCAGTTGCACCAAAACTACTTTCAAACTTGGAGTGCCATGAGCTCCAACAATCTTGGTGTATCCTCTGTTATGAGATCTGAGATATCCACTAAAACGACATATTCAAATTTTCCATACACGGCGACGTTAATACACAAAGGTGTCAGAACAGAGTACGAACATATTTTAACAATAGATATGTCCATTGATCTCTCCTGTAACAATTTTGAAGGAGAAATCCCAGCATCACTCCAAGCTCTTCAAGGGCTTCAAGCACTAAATCTTTCCAACAATCATTTTACTGGACGTGTCTTGCCATCTCTGGGGAACCTAAAGAATCTTGAAGCTTTGGATCTCTCTCGAAATGAGCTATCTGGGGAAATTCCTCAACGATTGGTGCAACTAGGCTTCCTTGAAATTTTCAACGTGTCATTCAACCGTCTTGAGGGGCGCATACCCAAAGGAAAACAGTTTGGTACATTTGATAACAACTCCTACATAGGGAATCACCGATTGTGTGGACAACCATTATCCAAGGAATGTCAAGGTCATTTAAAGGTGTATGGACTTCCACCAACAAGCAATGTGTCTGAGTCTCTCCTCCCGAGTGAAGCAATTGATTGGATCATCGTATTCTGTGGAGTTGGAAGTGGGTTGGTTGTTGGGATTGTTATCGGAAACTTTCTACATGCAAAATATAGTGATCGGTTCACAAAGAAGAATGAGAGATGGGTAAGTCCACTTCGTAACACGAGGAGAAACTAAGGTACAAAGATACTATATTTTTTAAACTGATATTTTTAAATCAAAGGAATTATAACAAGATCTTTTTGAGATTAACTGTCGTACATCTCAACTTTGTATTATCAACTATTACTTGTTTTTTTTTGTCATTTATCAAAAACTTCAATTGAATTATATGTCAAGTCAAATATGCATTTTAGCAAAGAAAGTCTTATTAAAATATTTAACTTAAAAAAAATTAAAGAATAAATCATGAACTTAACTTCACACGTATCTTAGGAGGTGGCACGGCTTAAAGTTCAAAGGGTACCGAGAAGTTGTAGAAGACCTTCAAGGGATTTCAGTTTGCTTTACCATGTAGTATGTGTATATTATGTTTGAGATTGTGTTTGTTTCATTTAGATTTCTTTAAGTAGATTGTAAGATTTTTGATGTATCATTTAGTAACAGTTCCATTGTTTAATCTTACAGTTTATAGAGGTATGATCATAAATTCTTATGTAAGGTCTTGGTAAGTTGTCACAACCTTAGAGTTGGGGTTGTGATAGTATGAAAGTCATGTATATTATATATTTTCAAATAAAATAAGTGAATGTCATTGTTAATATAAAGTGTAATAATTCTTTTAACAATAAATCAATGTTATTACTCGAACTATTTCAATTGATTTCAATCGAATTAAGAATCTTTTCAAACTTCTTGCTAGAAATTCAGCTGAGATGTTTTATCCATTTTCTTTAATGATTTCAAACGCGTCATGTTCTTGAGTTTTAAAATTAAGGAAAAGAAAAGTTATATATAATATACTCATGTTGTAAGAAAAGGAAAGGAAAAATAATTTTTTTATTTTTTATATTTTTACTCATCATTGGAGTTAACGTATAAAAAAATCTTATGTTTTTGACATTTTGGTTGTTGAAAAACTAGGTGTGAGACCCGTATATTATACGAGTTGATTTAAAAAATAATTAAACTTAAAGTATAAAAAGGAAATATTTTTCAATGTATAACTTTAAAATAATTAAAAAAAAACGTATTTATTACAATTTAATATCATATATATGATATTTAATACTTTACATATATAAGTATATAACTTTAATTAAAAATTAAAACAAACCAAAAATTAACAATTGAATAATATTTATTTCAAAATTAACACAAAAGAACAAGTATCAAAACTTATGAGATATTGACAAGTGACAAAAAAAACTTCAATTTATTAAAGAGGATAAAAAATGATTCGCCTTAATTACATTTACAAGTTATAAAAACTATTAAATATTAAATAACATTCGTTACTTTGTGCTCTGTGATTTGACTTGATTCTTTTTTTTTTCTTTCCTCTTACCATGTGTTCAAGTGCAGATATTTTCCGTAACTTACCGTGTTTTTAATCACTACAATCATAACCAATTCTATATGAATTAAAAAATGAACAATTACTGAATTGAGATAACAAATATTTAAAACATCAATGAATCCATCCAATAAACTAATATGAAATTTGGTTGTAGAATCATGAAGTATAGGTAAAACGATGATAACAAAAGTACAAAACAGAAGAAACCCTCTAGGCATTTCATCGAATACCTGGTGGGCGGTAGACAGAACTTCATCAAGAACGATGAGCATCTTATAGTCTTATCAGTAACTCCACTTCCACCGTCTCTACTCTTTTGCGAATTTCAATCCATAAGGATGCTCAATCGGAGCCTCATACTCTATATACTAATCCTATTCTTCTGCCGTTAATCCTTCATGAGAGGAGAGCTGGTGGTAGGGTTGCAGTTATGCTCCGTAAGCAAATTGTGGCTGTGTGGAACAAAGAAGATGGTGACGAGTCGAATAGGATAAAGAGATATGGAGGTGTTGATTTATATGAAAGCTTTGTAAAACAAGTAGCATGAGTTGGATATGTGAAAGCTTTGTAAAACTTATGTAAAAATGTTTTAGTGAAAAAATATTCAAGAATATAAAAACGAAGTTGTAAAAATATAAGAGAACATATGAAGATAAAGTTTGTAAAAAATTTGGCAGATTCTGATTTTTGGTCAAACTAGATAAAAGAACCGAATTGTAATAAAAATAAAACTTTGGTAAAAGTTATAAATAAGCACAAGTTGGACTAGATTTGGGTTGGTTATTTGGGACAGATTGGTTGGATCCGGTGGTTGTCAAATAAAAAGGAATACCGTACCAAAAAACTCTTACAACGTGCTCCAAAGATAGTTTTGGTTTATAATGAGACAAAACTACACAAATGGTCTCTGTTTTTTTGCTGAAAATTGACACTATGGTCCAAAAAGTTTTGGACAAGCACCACAGGTCCAAAGTTTTCATTTTCTTGCGAGTTTGGTCCAATTTACTTTAACATTTTTTTAATGACGATTTTACCCTTCTTTTTTGTTTTTTTTATAATTATTTATTTATTTAAATATTTTGATAATTAAAAGAAAATAACTCTCTCTCTCTCTCTCTCTCTCTCTCTCTCTCTCTCTCTCTCGATCAAGGGTTCCAGACTTCCAAGATTCACTCTTCCCTCTCTTGTTTCTTGGAAACTCGGATGATGTTCTTCAAACTTCATACATTCCCAAACACCAAAATTTGAGTTAAACCCATCGATTTCTATCAAGCAAAAAGAAATACCAACCTAAAGTTATTGATTTAAACCCATTGATTTCTATCAAGAAAAACAAAGAAACACCCATGGATCCCCTGTAAGACATTAACCCCAAAAATCATTTCCGTTCATAAATTTCTGTCAAGAATCGATCCCAAACACGTGCTTAACCCTATCAATTTTTATCAAAAAAACGAAGAAGAAGTAAACGACCTGTGAGCATTCGACCAACCCACGAGTCTCCCCACCTGCACCGATGTTTCATCGCTCCTTCCCTTCTCCCCCTCGTGATCCTCAGTTGGAGTAGAAACAAGCAACCAAGAGATGCTTTAGTAGCCCTCACTGAACCCACCAAGTTCGACGACAACTTGCTTGTTCTTATTCCCTTCTTCGATTCACTAAAACAACGAGGGTGTTTCCCCTTACTCATCCATAACCCAACAACTCCGAAATCACAGCCACTCGTTGCTTCTTCCCACTTGCGTCACTTTGCTCTCGTCGACCCGGAGACTTCTCCCTCCTTACGATCTGCAATCACTGATACCTTCTGTGGTCCTTTTTCCAGGCCTACGACGAGCAAGGAACCAAGGATCGAACCCCCTAAAATTGAAGTTGGTGTTCAATTTCTCCTCTCCTTGCAATGACGCTTCCGTTCCTTCTACTGCCTTGTGTTCATACATGTTTATCCATTGCCCGATCATACATTGAACACGGGAATGCCATTAAAAGCTCTAATTTCATTTTAGATTGTAAAAGTAGAAAACATTTAGTCGGAGATAGAGGTAGTGGACGGTAGTAGCAGCGGACTGTGGTGGTGAAAAACGGTGGTGGTGATGGATAGTGGTCCAACAATGGCGGTGGGGAAGATGTTCTTGAGTTTATGACGTGTTCGAGTTCATTACCGGTGGTGGTAATCAATTTTCAGAAAAAATTTAGATGAGAGAGAGAGAGAGAGAGAATTATTTTCTTTTTTTAATTTTATTTTAATTAAGAAAATATTTAAATAAATAAATAAACTAAAAAAACAAAAAAGAAGGGTAAAATTGTCATTACAAAAATTATTAAAGTAAATTGGATCAAACTCGCAAAAAATTAAAACTTTGGACTTGTGGTGTTAGTCCAAAACTTTTTGGACCAAAGTGACAATTTTCAACATACCACAGGGACCATTTGTGCAGTTTTGTCTGATAATTTTATCCTAGCTCGCCGAGCGGCATACCGGGAAAGAATTCATTGCACCCCTAGGCACAAGTCATCCTCGTACCAGGCTTGGATAGAAATTATTGAACAGATGACTCACAAAGCGTAGTTTGTTGCTGAACATATCACTAGATAACAATGCACTGAAAAATCTTCTAAATTTTCACTTTATAAATACCCATATTGTGGTGTTCGTCCTCACTTTCTTCAAAATTTTCTAATCCTCATCAACACACAATAAAAACTCAAACCAGATATAACTTTACCAATCCAACTCATAAATAAATAGACAAAGCAAAACGAAATAGCTACTAATTCACAACTTTCAATAAGAAATATGCATCATCAGAGATGTCTACACACATACACATGTACCAATTCCTATATATGATTATTATTCAATAAGAACTCAAGAAAGCTTAGATACCTGTAAGCTTGCCCTTTGGATAATATGCTATGATAAACATTATATTATGGTACATTTACTAAGAGAGGGATGATGAAGCAGATAAAGAGTGACAAAGAGCAAGTTAACCATTATAACGATGAAGGGCATGATAGAGGAGAGAGGATCCTCTTCCCGTTATTAATTAGAAAAAAAGGAAGCCGGGGAGGGAGTCGACATATCAGTATAAAAATGGTGCATCATAAATTTAATAATTTATTGACATCAACACATAATGTTGGAAAATATAGGAGTTTCATGAAAAAAAAAAATAATCCATGACTTTTTTAAGGTAAAATGTTGGAAAACAATGTCTTTTTTGTAATTCGCCTTAAACATAACACGAAAAAGACTTTTTCTTATATTTTAGATAAGGTTTTTTTTTTTATTGATAAATTGCAAAATCTGCACGTTACACTGTTAGATCACTCTTAGAGTAACAAGTTAAAATGACTTGAGTTTTAGTACACGTAGAAAGAGGTCACATTGATCCACCAATGCTTAAACCGTATAAATACATGTTTTTTTTGGAAGAAATTTATTCGATGGAGTGCATATGCTACTCCACAACTCTAAGAAAAACCGATGAACCATTCAATACGTTCATTTGTGAAATTTTAATACTATTTATAAAGAAAACAGATGCATGCTATCAAAGAAATTGGCGTGATGTTTACATCCACATTCCATGTAGTCTATTGTAGTAAAGACTTTGAAGTCTTCCACTAGCACTTATCTATATTTGAATTAATA